AGCCCACCAGCGTGCGTGGTTCTGCTCCCCCAATTCCTCTACCTGGCCTCATGATTTCGGAAGAAGGCTTAACCCCCCCCACCCACACACACAACACACACCACGGCACACTAGGGGGTTCAGAAACGCCATTCAGAAAAAGGGGGGATGAGGAGGATCGGGGCGTGTGTTTCTCAGCGATCCAGCTGTGCAGGAAGCTCATGAGGTTTCTTGCAACCAGGAATTCTTAGCTTTGGAATGGATTTAATCTTGAAAACTGTCCTAGTTCCTAGGTGCACGGGTAAGTTTCATTGGACAGGAAAAATGCGTTCGGGTGCAGTCTTTTCATTCCCACCGTCCCTTGTGTTTTTTAGTCTCTCCCTGGAGCAGAAAGCCTTTATAATCTCCCACATCTTGCATGCAAGGGAAGCTTTTATTCTTGCTGGTGATGGAAAACTCACGAACTCATTGCACTGCCATTTGGGAAAGGAAGAATGTTGCCTGCTGGGTTTTTTTTCAAAGCAAGGCTTTTGTTAAAACTAGCTAGTTGCTGGTTTACACGAAATATTCCAGTTGCTTAAGCAAGTGCGTGTTTGTAATGACCACTTTTTTTGTGCCACTGTTCCTACAGTACTAGTAAAGGATGATTTAAAGAACCTAACTTTACAAATTTAGTAGAGGGTGATTTTAAGTTAGACACTGGTGGCGAAGCTACAATAGCCCATGCATGTTGTCATTTTGTGTATTTCTCTTGCCTGAACTAAACTCTGATATGAATGGTAGTGAGGTTTTATTAAGTGTGTGTGTTTAACTATTGATACTGGTAAAGAAATGCTTTGTAATGGAAGGAGTTACTGATGTGCTGGATGGTTCTGAGTTAATTTCACGTTAAATGTATTGTAGTAATTCATGAGTATAATTTAAATTGGATTTTTTTTAAAACCAGATTTCTTGTAAGATAGTTGTATTGTGCCAAAGCTTTTTCAGTTTGCTGACTAAACATTTTGTGGGTGCTTTACTTTTTACAGTATTTCTTGCTTCATTGATCTAAAAAGTTACTTTTTTCCACTCCCTGTTTTTTATAGCATAAATCTCAAATTTGTTATGCTTCATCATCAAACTGAGCAGGCAGTCCTTGGGGAGGGCACACACTTCAATATATACACAATCCCAGAAGTATTTATGGTTTACAATCTCAGAAATGCAACTTTGTTTACATAGCAAGAAGTGATTTTGAGTATCAATTTTAAACATTTTAACGTGAACAAGGCATTGCAAAATAGATGTTTAAAAAAACCACCAAACCTCTTTACTATCTTTAATTTTTCAGTTTCCTTGCATTTTTTCAGAATTTTTTTTCTTGTCTTTTGTCATCTCTTTTGCCTGCTTGAAGATGTTGCAAAAATTGAAACCTTTATGAACCTTCTTCAAAAACGTGAATGTGCTGGTGTATTGCTTTCTTTGTGGCTCATTCCCTGTGTACTTAGATTCTGCTTTGTTTGTGGTTTATAATGAATTTGGAATAAATCTTACTGCTTTTATTAGGTAGCTAGCGCCACAAAATATATGCATTCTTTTAAAGTTGTTAACTTTCTAATTCCTAATTTAGGCTGAATGTAAAGACAGTATTGATTGAACACCCTTGCTGAAAATACTTTCAGGGTTGGATGTACTTGAAATGTTCTCATGCTAAAGTTAATATGAACTGCCCTTCTTTAATAAGTATTTACAGATTATTATTATTAGCGATTGTATTTATGAAACAAAAATAAGAAAACAAAACCCTAGCCTGTTAAAAGTAATGTGTTAATTGCTGCTTTCAGTGAATGAATCTCTAATATGGGATAGAGGGGTTATTTATTAACTGTTAAAATGTCACTTTAATTAGCATGGTGGTGGTGAATATATGGCAAGTGTACGCCTCCCCAAGTATTGTATTTTTGTTCTGATTATGCAATGACCTCTGTGCAGGCAAGGGTTCCACCTACACTGAAGTAACATTGCAGCATTTAGGGCCTTAATGTTCATTCTAGAAAGACTGGGCCATTATTTATTGTGAGCATTTGCTGCTAGAGAATGGTCATGTTTAACACCTATGCCTACTTGGAGTCATGGACTAACCTGGAGTTAGAGAGCTAAAATCAAAAGCTTGAGGTGTGTAAAAGATTAGGTACATTGACTACTTAGTTGTTCAAAAAGTAACGTTGTAGCCACTTTTTATTTTTGTTGCTTAAATCAGTGGTTCTCAACCCGGGGTATGTAGAGGTCTTCCAGGAGACCCATCAACTCATCTAGATACTTGCCAATTTTTACAAAAAGCTTATGATGTATTAGTGAAGTCAGTAAAAACTAAAATTTCATACAGAAAATAACTTGATACTGCTATATATACTATACACTGAAATGTAAGCACAGTATTTATATTCCAGTTGCTTTATTTTATAATTGTATTGTAAAAATGAGAGAGTAGACAATTTTTCAGTAATAGTGTTCTGCGATACTTATGTATTCTTACGTCTGGTTTTGTAAGACAGTAGTTAAGTGTGGTGAAATCTGGGAGAGTGCAAGACAAGTCAGACTTCTGAAAAGGTTACAGTGGTCTGGACAGGTTGAGAGCTACTGGTTTAAATTGTGCTCCAAAGTCCCAGTCACAGCCTATTGTTGGATCCTGACACTGTTGGTTGGTTGTCGTGGAAACACGTCAATTAAAATATCACAGAGCCAATATCTAGTTAGAGTATAAACACAGTTTTATTTCTTAATTCTGTAGCTAGGAGGATCTGAGTATCTCACACATGCTTATTTTTTTTAAGGAAACCTATTCATATATAGTCTTTGAGCATTTTTTTTCAAAAAGTCACTGCCATAAGCTATAAATATATTGGAGTGGAGGACTTTCAAAACAAAAATCAAAGTCAAAGTTAAAGTTAATCATGCCACCATCTCATTAGGCAGGTGGTGTTTAGCATGATGGTGGCCCTTTCTTTGGAAGGCTTTTTGCTTTAAGTTCTGTGATCTGAACACAGCAGGTGAGAAGTAAAGTAGGATGGCACAGGTTGGGCCTTTCTGGACCAGGACCCTCAGGACTTGACTGGGCCCGGACTTTTCTGGACCAGGGAAAGTCATTTCTGGCTCCCTGCTTCTGCCTCTTCTCTCCCCCC